CTCCTCTTTCGGCCACCGCCACGCTGCACCTTGTTTTCGCGGACAGCCTGCAGGAGGTGCTGCCGGACCTCAGGGAAGACCCTGTGGCCTCTGACTCCCAGGCCGAGCTGCAGTTCTACCTAGTAGTGGCTTTGGCCTTGATCTCAGTGCTCTTCCTTCTCACTGTGATTCTAGCAATTGCTGTGCGCCTGAGACGCTCCTCCAGCCCTACCGACTGGGGCTGCTTTCAGCATCGTCTCTGTTCCAAGCCTGGTCCTGTAGTTCCCCCCAACTACAACGAAGGGACATTGCCTTACTCTTTCAATCTATGCGTTGAGCATATAGGAAATACAGAGTTTAATTTCCAAAAATGTAGTGATCCACTGAGTTCAGGACAAGACCTCCTTTGCGGTGATTCCTCTGGAGCCTTGTTTCCACTTTGTAATTCCAGTGAGTCAACTTCTCATCCTGAGACTCTGACACCGGTGAGTTCCATTTCCCTCTTTACTCCTGTCATCCATCCAATTGTCTATATTTATGTGAAAATACGATACATTGTCTGCTGTAGTGAGTTGTGTATGGAAAGTTATAAACATTCAGATAGCCACATTTCCTTTCTTCATGGGGAGGGGTGATTTATGAGTGAGTATGTGACATTCTGGAGAAAATGAAAAGGTTACATATTTCCAAAGTAGGGAGTCACACAGATTTACATAGTTCTAAGTGTGTGCTCTTTCCTATCAGCAAAAGGACTGGACAATTTGTCTCTCTTTTTTTGAAAGCCAATGAAACCCTTTAATTGCCTCATTCTTGAACATATACTTAAATTTCATTTTATATAAGCAAATATTAAGTTTAGAGTAGGTAACCATTTAATTCATCATTTAAAGAAACAAAAAACCTACTAATTTCTTTGACAGTTCCTTTCCTTTCTTGTGTTTATTCCTTAAGTATAGTCCCTCCATGGTCCTTATGTCTTTCATTTTTATGTCTATTATGTAATGAATTTATAGAGAATGGGTTCCAGCAGCTCAGTGTCCTTTCCCTTTAGTCCTCACAAACTGGTATACTGGCCAGAACAAGCTTCAGTTGAACCCAGGTACCTTTCTCTTTGGATTTCTTCTTTTTGTGATCATTTCCCTTCACATGTTTAAAAAAGCTATCTGAGGGGCCTGGGATTTAGCTCAGTGGTTCCGCCACCTGTCTCAAAAGCACAAGGTCCAGAGTTTGATCCCCAGTACCAAAAAAAAAAAAAAGCTATCTGAGCTCTCAGAGTATACAGTACACAATTAATTCTCTTGGCAATAGAGTCTTGCCCTTAACTTGCCTGTTTGTAACAATGTTCACACCATTCTGGGTGACACTGTAGGTTCTTCCAGATGTCTTTTTCAATACTATCCATTCCCTTGATGTCTACAATATCAGCCTTCCTGTAGATTCACATATATCTCACCAAAGGAACAACTCTATATTTTCTAAAAGGCCTAAAGAACATACATCAGGGGCCTCTCATCTTTCGCTTTGAGTTCATCCTTTTGGGGAATTAGTGGAAGATGGCAGTTCTGGACAAAACAGACCTGGTTCCATATACTTAACTAATGGATTTATGATTTATTGACTCCACCTAAAAATGTGTGAAAAATACTATGTTGGTTTATGTGTATAAAAAAGACAGGGACTCACTGAATTTATTAGATCCAAAACACTTTCAGATTTTCTTGGATGCAGAATCCTGTAGAAAAAGAAATATTGGGACTGGTCATGCAGCTTCATGGTAGAGCATGAGCTTGGTATGGTCAAGGCCCTGCGTTTAATCCCCAAGACAGGGAGAAGAGGGAAGCAGGAAGAGAGAGAAAGAAGGGGAGGAGGGTGGAGGAGAGAAAAAGCAAATTCTACCACCTCCCTTTCTGTTTCCTGACATATATTCTTTGAAGAAGGGAAGGTAGAATAGTCACTAGATTTCTCTTATCATTTTGAATCCTAAACATAAAAGACTAGGTGTTTTCTCATCATTCTCTTAGGAAGGAAGGAGAATCCTGAATTTTTCTGTTTCCTAAAGCAAAGACTATTAGGCTGGTGTTCTTATAAAGTTATCCTTACACAGTGTAAGTCTTTTGCATGGTTTCCCTTGCCTGTCACCTCTCAGCCTTTTGGCTAAGATCAAGTGTCGTTTCCCTTGGCATGTGATACACCAAATAGCTTCTTTACAAACTGCTGAAAAAGACTTTTATAAAATCACTTACTTTTTACTTTTGAGTACTAATCATTTGTTCTATATTTTATATTCTTTTTCCTAAATTGTTCATAAGTTTAAATGACTCAGAATAAGAAGTGTAAGAGTACTTTAAAATTGCATGATTTATTTTTTACTTTTCTTGAATTTGTGAGAATGTGTGTGTGGCTCAGAATTTGATCCCTAGCACTGCAAAACTAATAATAATAATTTCTTGATTGAGGATTAAAGTGGAAATTTGATTTTCCTAGTAAGTTCCTTTGAATCTTCCAGATGCCTCAAGCTGTGCATCTATCATGTATTCATCAAACAGAAATCTAACCTTTTTATGAAATAGCAGAAGTTTAAATAATGACAAGATATAAATTTTTAGAACCTTAATCTTGACAATAAAATTTAACAACGCTAGGTAAGAAAATCTATATTGACTAATTAAAATTATTTTTATGACCCCAAATTTTAAATGAAACCTTTCTTCTGGAATTTTACCATCAAAATATATTGACCTTATAAAATAATTTAAAGTGAAATATCTATCCAAATATATTCATTTGATATAATTATACAATATATTACATAACATGTACAAGGGCAAAAGAAAAATATGAAAATACAAATTTTCAAAGAGAATTGCATCTTAATTACTTCTGAAGATTGATAAAGATATAGACAGAAAAGAAGCATCATTTAAAAATTATAACAGCTGGGCATGGTAGCACACACCTGTAATCCCAGCACTCAGGAGGCTGAGGCAGGAGGATCATCATGTGTTTGAGGCCTGCCTGGGCTACACAGTAAGTTCAAGGGCAGCCCGAACTACATAGCAAAACCCAGTCTCAAAAAAATAAAAGAAAAAATTATAATCATTTTACATATGCTCACAGAGAGGGTAAGATTCTACCAAAAATAAATTAGGTAGACATTAAGCAAAAAAGGAAAATCTGGTGATTTAATAATTACAGAAATTTCATTCCACTTCATTTACAACTCATATATCTACAAATGGTACTTGCTTTTAAACTGTGAATGCAAAAAACATTTAGACAAATCTAAAATCCTAGTTAGAAGAGAATAGTGGGGGGTTTTTTAAATCAACCATCTACAGTCAAATGTGTATATTTTGCTGGGTGCAATGGCTTGGGCCTGTAATGCCAGCTACTGCGAAGGCTGAGGCAGCAACATTAGAAGCTCAAGAGTAGAGACTAGCTGGAGCAATACTGCGAGACCCCATCTCCAAAAAAGAAAAAAAAGAAAGAAAGAAAGATAAGAAAAGTTTGAGTATCTCAGTTGGTGTAGTAACGCTTTAGGACTCTGAGCGCCGCTGTTCACCAACTAAGAAAAACAGCGCTCCCGATCTGCATCTACGTAAACCCCCTTACATCCCACAAACTGGATTCCAGGCTGCAACAAGATTCCACTCGACAGGCATTCCGGCTTTCCTCTGAGGAAAAGGATAACCCGACTTTGTAGGAGGAAAAGAAGAATCTAGAGTCTGCGTGCACAGAGAGCATTCTGAGAAAATTCCGTGGCAACGCACAATGGCTGCTCCAGCCAAACGCCAGCACTGCGGACGACTGGCCCTGCTGTGCGCGCTCCTGGGGACGCTGTGGGAGGCCAAGGCCAGTCTGCTCAGCTACTCAGTGCCTGAAGAGAGAGAGCAGGGATATATCGTGGGCAACATCTCCAAGGACCTGGGGCTGGAGCCCCGGGAGCTGGCGGAGAGCGGAGTCCGCATCGTCTCCAAAGGTAGGACGCAGCTTTTCTCTCTGAACCCGCTCAGCGGCAGCTTGGTCACCGCGGGCAGGATAGACCGGGAGGAGCTGTGCGCCCACAGCGCGCGGTGTCTGGTGAACCTTAAAATCTTGGTTGAAGATAGAGTGAAACTTTACAGAATAGAAATAGAAGTAACTGATATCAATGACAATGCGCCAAAATTTGAGGCAGAAAATCTGGCAGTAAAAATCAATGAAATCGCTTCTCCTGGAGCACGCTATCCACTCCCAGAAGCGGTTGACCCGGATGTGGGCGTGAACTCCTTACAGAGCTACCAGCTGAGCCCCAGTCACCACTTCTCTCTGGACCTCCAAACCGCAGATGATGGAACCATCAACCCAGAGCTGGTACTGGAGCGCACCCTGGACCGAGAGGAAGAGGCCATTCACCACCTGGTCCTCACCGCCTCGGATGGCGGCGACCCGCGCCGCTCCAGCACAGTGCACATCCAGGTGACCGTGTTGGATACAAATGACAATGCCCCGGTTTTTGCTCAACCGATTTACCGAGTGAAAGTCCTTGAGAACGTGCCCTGGGGCACCCTGCTGCTTACAGTAAGAGCCAGCGACCCGGATGAGGGAGCCAACGGAAAAGTGACGTACAAATTTCGGAAAATCAATGAAAAACAGTCTTCCTTGTTCCAGCTTAATGAAAACACTGGAGAAATAACAGTGGCAAGAAGTCTAGATTATGAAGAATGTTCGTTCTATGAAATGGAAATACAAGCTGAAGATGGTGGGGGATTGAAAGGGAGGACAAAGGTACTAATTATGGTAGAAGATGTAAATGACAACAGGCCCGAAGTGACCATTACATCTGTGTTTAGCCCAGTGAGGGAAGATGCTCCGCAGGGAACAGTAATCGTTCTTTTCAATGCTCATGACCAAGACTCTGGGAAGAATGGTCAAGTTGTCTGTTCCATCCAGGAGAATCTGTCTTTTAAATTAGAAAATTCAGTAGAAGACTATTATAGATTGTTGACTGCCCAAATTCTTGATCGAGAAAAGACCTCTGAGTATAATATTACAGTGATGGCAACCGACAGAGGAACCCCACCCCTATCCACAGAAGTTCATATCACCCTGTATGTGGCTGACATCAATGACAATCCACCTGCCTTCTCTCAATCTCTCTACACTGTCTACCTCCCTGAAAACAATCCAAGGGGCACCTCCATCTTCTCGGTGTCTGCCTATGACCCAGATGACAGTGAGAATGCCAGAGTTATTTATTCATTGGCAGAGGATACCATCCAGGGGGTTCCGCTCTCCTCCTGTGTGTCCATTAACTCTGACACTGGTGTGCTGTATGCGCTACGCTCCTTTGACTATGAGCAGTTTCAAAATCTGCAAATGCAGGTGAGGGCAAGCGACAATGGGAACCCACCACTCAGCAGCAATGTGTCACTGAGCCTGTTTATCCTGGACCAGAATGACAACGCTCCTGAGATTCTATATCCTGCTATCCCCACTGATGGTTCCACTGGTGTGGAGCTGGCGCCCCGCTCAGCAGAGCCTGGATACCTGGTGACCAAGGTGGTGGCAGTGGACAAAGACTCAGGACAGAATGCCTGGCTGTCCTACCGCTTACTCAAAGCCAGTGAGCCTGGGCTCTTCTCAGTGGGGCTGCACACAGGAGAGGTGCGCTCTGCAAGGGCCCTGTTGGACAGAGATGCCCTCAAGCAGAGCCTTGTGGTGGCTGTCCAGGACCATGGCCAGCCCCCTCTCTCTGCCATTGTCACACTTACTGTGGCTGTGGCTGACAGCATCCCAGATGTCCTGGCTAACCTGGGCAACATCCAGATTCCTGCTAACCCTGATGACTCAGACCTTACACTCTACCTAGTGGTGGCGGTGGCCATTGTCTCCTGTGTCTTCCTGGCCTTTGTCCTTGTGTTGCTGGCACTCAGGTTGCAGCGTTGGCACTCTTCAAGACTTCTGCAGGTAGAAAGTGACAGGCTGCCTGGAATGACCACTTCACAGTTTGTGGGCATGGAGGGGGTACAGGCTTTCCTGCAGACCTATTCCCAGGAGTTTTCTTTAACAGCTGACTCTAGGAAGAGCCACCTGATCTTCCCTCAGCCCAACTATGCAGATGCACTCATCAGCCAGGAGAGCTGTGGGAAAAATGAGCCTTTGTGCAGTTCAGTTGATTCCAAGTTACCTGTTGAAGACACTCCTTTGGTTCCTGTGAGTTGCATTTTTTGATTTACATCTATAACAGTTAGCTTTCTCATAAAGTGTTCCTATTTAAGGTAGCACTAGTTGATATCAATATATTTCTAACCATTTAATCTTTCAATGAGCCTAATTTCTGCCCCAACATCTAAAGGAGGGATTTATTGGTTTTGTCACCAACATAACCAAAGTTAGTAAGTTTTACTTTCTCCTAATAATTAATCTAGTGTCAACAGAAACCATTCTTCCTGGGACAGTTTTCATTATCCTGCATGGATGTGGCCTTTTTGAGAGGCTTTGCTTGTTAGTTGCAGTGATTCACTACTGATTCTCCACTTGGGTATCTCTTCTGAAGTTTATTGATTATTGTTGATTATTACTGTTGATTATTGTCGATTATCTGCAGTTTATTGATTATTGTTATCTTCAGTGCCCCATTGTAAAATTCTTACTCCTAAAATCATTTCTATAGCTTTATACTATTTTATACATGTAAATTAATAGGAAAGTAGATGCTTTTTTCTTCAAAAACCAACTGGGAGCCCAGATTCACTGCTTCCACTCTTCTGTTTCTATAACAGCGAAATATGCCACTGAACTGATGTTTTTCAAATGGTAATCCTGTAGAGATGGTTTGAATTTTAAGATCTTTTCTGGGGATAATCAATTTCTAAACCCTAGTAAAGCATTTTTATTATTTTAGTGGTGAAAAGTATAGCATCCTTTATGCTCATTTCCTTAATGGTTTTAATTTCCTAAAGCTGTAATGCAAACTTATGAAAAATAGTTTAACAGTCATCTTTCCTAAGGTATATGCTTGCTTAAGACAACTTTCTAAGACTGAACACTGTGAAAGGACAAAAGAAAAGGAGTTAAAATTATTCTTCAGGGCCGGGGATTTAGCTCAGTGGTTCCACCACCTGCCTCGAAAGTGCAAGGACTCAAGTTCAATCCCCAGTCCCTCCCCCCCAAAAAAGAATAAAATTATTCTCTTCAGCTCTATATTATTTCGAGCTCAATTCTTCCTTTGATAAAAGCTAGAAATGTACCGGGGTATGGGATATGAGTAAGGAAAATATTCTCAGGAAATTCTAGGGGAAGTCTAAAAATGTTTCACTGGCTTTTAGCTATAAGGGAATAAATTATGTATTATTGAATGTGATTTGAAATATAATGCTAGTTTTCAAGTAATAAATTGCATTCCAAGAGACATGGAAAATAAGCTTTGAAGCTGACTCAAAAGTCTAAACATGTGGTCCATAATAACTTCTGGCAGGAATTTCCATGGATATAGAGTAATATTTTATTTGTTTTCATAAGTACTTTTTCAAATTTCTACTTTTTACTTATAAGAAAGTAAGAACTAATATATCTGGAAACCCATCAGTGAGGTAGACATTTTAATTACTTTCAACACTTTTTTCCTTAAGCTAATAGGAAAAACTAAAGCATCATTCAGAGTCATACTTTTGAGACAGTCTTGATAAGTAGCTCAGGCTGTCCTCAAACTCCTTATGTAGCCCAGGCTGGCCTTGAACTTTCAGCAATCCTCCTGCTTCACGCTCCTGAGTGCAGGGATTACAGGCATGGCCACCACACCCAGCATCAGGGTCATATTTAAATCATACAGGAAGAAAATTGTCATTTAAATTTATGTCCTGTATGTTTAGTATTCATACATATTTTTAAAATCTGTGTTAATCTGGAGAAAATATAATACCACAGATACAAATTTATGTCATGGTAACTACTATTCTACAAAAATGTCACTTGTCTCTTCAACCAGAACATGATAACACTGGATGGATGACTGGGTAGAATATGGAAATTGCTGGATTCTAGTTTTCTTTAACTGTGTAGGACTTACTATCCATCGGTAACAGATTATAGGCCATTAATACAATGAAAGATAAGATTTTTATTTTAATGCCTCATCTTCAAAAGTCTTCATTGAAATGACATTTTGGCTTTGCCTCAGTGTTTGGGGAGTGCAGTATATTTTAAATAAAGATTGGCTTTGTGGTAACCATTGTTGAAGCTGGTGGATGGGTGTGTGAAGGTTTACAATATAATACATACCCTATACTAAAAGTTTAAAATTACTAATAATAAATTTCTTTAAGACACGAAAAAAGTATCCACTGTGAAGATACTATGAAGAGAATAGAATGTGTGGCAATTACATATCGGTAGCTGCATTATGAAAGGGTAATATATATAAATTTTGGAAATAAAAGATTTCAAAACTAGACAGTCTGCAGTCCCACACAGAGCCTCTGGGCGCCGCTGTCGGCCAGTGCAGAGCAAGCTCGACGTCCCAGATCCTTCAGCCTCTAGCCTAGGATTTCCTGCGCAGCCACCAACAC